GGACCTCCTGGAGCTGGTCTGACAGAGACGCGGGGACACGGAGTTGGAGCAGACCTGGTCAGTGCTTTATTGGGAAGGGGATGCATTCCGTAATCCGACAAATCTGTGACCCTAGAAAGATCTCAAGATCAAGTCCCAGCTGGTTTGCTGTGAGTTTGTACCTGCCCTGGAGGAAGCCATTGGTGTGGCAGCTGTGCCAGCGCCAGTACAGCTGGATGATGCGGGTGGCCTGCAGCAGGCGGAGGTAGCGGACGCGGACGCGCCACATGCGGAACCAGGACTGCAGCCGGACCGCCGCCCACTTCTGCCGAGCGTAGGCCTCCAGCTGCCTCTTCCGCTTCAACAATGGCAGCTCCCGCAGCACCCGCCGCCACCAGCGCTGGATGATGGAGGCGCAGAGCGCGGCGTGCAGCAGCGTCCGGCGCACCAGGGTGCCCCGCCACCAGGCCTGGATCTGCGTGGCTTGCTGCTCCTCATCACGGGGCTTCTTTACCTGTAGGGAGGGGTAGCCAGGAAAAGGAAGGGACACTCGGGACCCATTCCCCACCCACCTCAGCCCCAGGAGGTGCCAGGAAGGGGTCCTGGTCCTTTATCAGCCACAGCCCCCGCCTCAGAAGGCAGGGGTGTGGAGAGTGGCTACAGTGTTTGGACAGGTTCAAGCCTCAGACTAATGAGAGGGCATGCGCCTGCCCACGCTCCCACACGATTTGGGACTTGGGTTCCCCTTTACTTGGCAATGCCTTCCCCTAACACAGCCCTCACCACCCACTCACTCATGGCCAGGGTTTCTCCTCCCTACAAGCGACTCTCCAGGTCTCACCCCACCTTTCTCAGCCCCGGAGGCGCCAGGAGAAGGGCAGAGCCAGGGAGGAGCCCCTCTTTGTCCACTCCAGCTCTGGGTAGGGCAACCCCGTATCTGGGGGGCTCCGGGGCCTTCTCGCTTTGTGATGGTTGTTCCCGAGGCATCACTCATAGCTCTGTCTTCCCCTCACAAATGCATCCTGGTTGGATGGCAAGTGCCCTGAGCACCCCATGCTGTGGGCCTCAGAGAAGACGTCCCCTCACGGCTGGGTGACATGGGTGAGAGGGGGTGCAGGCTGGGGTCAGTGTCACCCTCAACGGTGAGGTCCCCACAGACCTACCGGTGGGATAATGGGTGGGGCCGGAGGTGCTTTCTTAATTTCCTCCTCCTGTGGCACCAGCAAGATGATATCTTCAGTATCTTCGATTATGATTTCTAAAAGTTGGCCTTCCTTCTGTGATCAGAGTCAGAGGAGAAAGGCGTGGGTAGGTGGGTCCTGCACAACCGTGTGCCTTGACCACCACGTACCCCACCTCCTGGCCCAGAGACCTCGATGCAGGATGGCATCCTGGGGCCCCTGGAAATCTACCTTCCCCTGTGGGCACCGAGGGGACTGGCTGTTCTTACACAAAATCGAATACCCATGACTTGGAAATAGGCGGTTCTAATTTCTCAAGTCTCATCCCCTCCCCAAATGCTCCATCGTTAAGAGCTTGGTGGTCCCATCACTCTCAGTTCTGTACTCCTCAAGCCGAGACCCGGGCAGGAAGAGAGGAGGCGGGAGAGCACTATGATGTCATAAGAGCGCTGTGATGTCATAGGGCCCCTATGACTCAGGGGCCAGGATGCCTCCCCACAGTTGAGGCCTTTTGGGTAAAAAGATGTGTAACGCCTCTCCATTCTTTTTTCCATAAATACCTAACCCTTGGCCAATTACTCAAGGCTCCCGGACACTAGCCCATTGGTCTAAAAAGTGTACAGAGTCTGGTTGATTGGAAATCTGAATTTGAGACAATTTACACTCTACCAATCAGGCACTCAAACACATGGACTTCAGTGAAGCAATGGAACCAAATGATTAGAAAGAATGAGTCAGGAACCACATTCTTTTTTTTTTTTTTTAAAATATATTTTATTGATTTTTTTACAGAGAGGAAGGGAGAGGGATAGAGAGTTGGAAACATCGATGAGAGAGAAACATCGATCAGCTGCCTTCTGCACACCCCCTAACTGGGGATGTGCCCGCAACCAAGGTACATGCCCTTGACCGGAATCGAACCTGGGACCCTTCAGTCCGCAGGCCGATGCTCTATCCACTGAGCCAAACTGGTTAGGGCAGGAACCACATTCTTAAACAAGTCCTTCTTCACCAAAGGAGATTTACCAGTGGCCAGAAGCACATGGAAAACTGTCCAAGCTCATTAGTCATGAGGAAAAGGAAGGTCAGAGCCACCTGACTCACCTCTAGACAGACTGCAGGATGGCTACAATAAGGAATATTTCCCGAAGAGATCAACCAAAGGACTTGTATGCAGGCATATACGCATAACCCATGGACACAGACAGTGGGGTGGGTGAGGGCGTGTGCTGGGGGTGGGAGTGGCTAAGGAGAGGTCAACGGGGGAGAAAGGAGACTTCCATAATACTTTAAGCGATAAAGAATTATATAGTTTATATACTGAGCCCAGCCGGTGTGGCTCAGTGGTTGAGTGTTGACCTATGAACCAGGAGATGACAGTTCAATTCCTAGTCAGGGCACATGTCCGGGGTTGTGGGCTTAATTAATCCCCAGGAGTGGGCATGCAGGAGGCAGCTGACCAAAGATTGTCTCTCATCATTGATGTTTCTATCTCTCTCTCCCTCCTTCTCTCTCTAAAATCAATAAAAACACTTTTTAAAAAAAGGCATTTTAAAAGGAGGGGTCAGGGTGTATATACTATAACAATGGAGCCAGAATCATCCTTGAGGGTGGTGGTGGGATTAAGGGGGCAGAGGAAATGTTTTGGCTGAATCCCCTGGGCCTGGCCCATCAGCCGGATACCCAGTTATCAACTTCTCAGGAGAGCAAGGAGCCCCCAGGACCAGCCAGGGCCCCCGGCTCAGGCTCCAGTGGCTGCAAACACGCTTCCGTCTTCCTCTTCCTCTTCCTCCTCTTCCTCTCAGGGCCTCAAGGTCACAGTCAGGAGGTGAGTGAGCAGCAGCCACTGCAGGAGCAGGGACCCCCTCTGCCTGCTCTCACCTCTGAAGGTCAATGCTGAGCCACACGGGCCGGGCAGGTCTGGTGTCTTGACCTTAACTATGGACACCTGGCCTGGATGACTGAGCCCAGAGCGCTGACCCCATCCACAGCCCCTTCCTAAGTGGTCCCTCCTGCGGAATCCAGCAGGTGGGGCTGGGGGGTGGAGGCGGACGCCAGGGCCGACTGTTTCATGCAGTGACGGAGGCCTTTGCCGGAAGTGGCTGCTCACCAGAGTGACAGTCGTGAAAGGAGGCACCAGGGTCCGCCCCGGAAACTTGTGACAGGATGCAGAGGTCACATGGTTGAGAGCAGGGCCTTCATGTAAGAACCCGGCGGGCACTGCCCTCACTGTAGGCGCCTGGAGTGCACGGGAGCGGTCGCCACGGACAGGGGGGTCCTGCAGGCATTGGGCACCCGGCAGGCCTCAGGCAGACAAACGGGTGACGACACGCGTGCTGGAGCCAGGGCTAGCGGCTTCCCGGCCGGTCGGCACCACCTGCGCCCCCAGCCGCAGCCCTAACTGGGGGTCTGGAAACGCGGCTCCATCTCCTGACTGTGACCTTGAGGCCCTCAGGGGAAGAGGAAGACAGAGCGTGCTTGCAGCCTCTGGAGCCTGCGCCGGGGGCCCTGGCTGGTCCTGAGGGCTCCACCGTTTCCCGAGAGGCTGAGAACTGGGTACGTGGCTGATGGACCGGACACAGGAGGCCTGGCGGCCGCTGCCCCTCACAGCGGGCAGGGCCCAGGTTCCATTCTGGTCAAGGGCACGTACCTAGTTGATGTGTCGCTCTCACACCCATGTTTCTCTCTCTCGGTCTCTCCCCCTTCCTCCCACTCTCTCTAAAAATCAGTGGGAAAATACCCTCAGGTGAGGATTCACATGAAATGGCCACAAAAGGACAGACACAAAGGCAGGCGAGTGGATCTCGAGGGTGGGGAAGGGCGTGCAACAGATGGCACATTTCTCCGGGGCGGCAGGTGCTCAGACGCAGCAGCGTTCTAGCCGTTAGCGCCCGCCCCACCTCCCGGGCAGTTTCCCGGGATTTCAGCTGCATCGCCTTTCGTTGCTTCCTCACAGGTGGTTTGGCAAACAGCACTTCCTGTGGGAGCCTGTTTCTGAGGGAGCCTCGGGCCCACCCGCACCCGCACACGGGTGGACGCTCTGCTGGGGGCGCTCGCAGCCAGGAGTCGTGACCAACCTGTTTCACAACGTTTCCACTGAAGCCGGGCAGAGCTGCATCCTCACGTCCGTCTGTCCCGGGTCAGGCGGGCATTGGGGTGGGGTGGGGTGGGGGGATAGAACCTTACCAGCGGGTTACCTGTCTGCTGGGGAGGGATTCACCGACCAGCCTGTCTCCAGGCTTCCAAACCTCACCTTTTCCTCCTGCTCGTCCGTCCGTCTGTCCCCGGCAGGTGCCCTCACAGCGGGGCACATCCCTGTGGCCACGGCAGCACTGCGGCCCCTAAGCACAGTTAGGGGCCTTGGCCTGGTGCCGACAGGATGGCCAGGGATCAGGTATCCGTTCCCAGGGGAGCCTGTAAGCCTCATGAATCTAACCCCTAACTAAGCTCAGTGCACCCCCCAACGACGCCGCAGCTCCTGCACACCCAACGGAGGCGGCAGGAGCCAGAGTGGGCGCGGAGGCCCCTCCCTTCGCAGCTCAGACACCTTGCTTTCAGGAACTTTCCACAGACACACGCCCGCCTGGGACAGACAGGCCCCTCCCGTCAGCCCCGGAAATCCACAGGGGCTGGGAGTCTCCATTCCCAACGTGAAAGCTGGGAGGGAAGCTGCCGGAATCCTTCCCTGCCACCAGCAGCAACAGCAAGAAGTGACTGGGGGGCGGGGGGCAAGACTTAAGTTACCAGCTACGTCTGAAGGCAAGAGGTGAGGGCAGGGCCCCACACGCTGGGAACCCTCAATGAGGCAGCTGGTCCGGGTGAGAGGCTCCAGGGGAGAGGAGAGTGGCTGAGAGGTGCTCAGACCTCCCTGCGGGCACCTGCCCGGGGCCAGGGGGCAGGTGGGCGGAGTCCCGGGAGGCGGTGCCTAACAGTTGAGGGCGGGGCTGAGGACTAGGGTGACCCCCCTGACCTTGGGTGAGCGCGCTCTAAAGACCAGGGCCATGGACACAGGACAGGTGAGCAAGGCCAGTGCAGGAGGGACCTGCCCTGAGGGCGACAAGCAGTGTCTACCGGTGAGTGGAGGGTTGAGCGGACGGGTGGGACCCAGACGCGAGAGGTCGGGGGCCCCCCAGGCCAGGCCCCCTTTCCTCACTGCACCGAGGCGGGACGGCACTAAGCGGGGACCTCACGGGCATCTCCGTGTTCTCCCCTGCCCGTCAGCGAGAGAAGGCGGCCGTGAGGATCCAGGCATGGTGGCGCGGCGGCCGGGTGCGCCAGGCGCTGCTGCAGGCGGCGCTCCGGGCCTGGGCCATCCAGTGCTGGTGGAGGTCGGCGCAGGCCAAGACGCTGGAGCAGAGGCGGCGCCTGGCGCTGCGGCTCTACACCTGCCAGGAGTGGGCGGTGGTGAAGGTCCAGGCCCAGGTCCGCATGTGGCAGGCCCGCCGGCGCTTCCTCCAGGCCCGCCAGGCGGCCTGCACCATCCAGTCCCACTGGCGCTGGCACGCCAGCCAGACCCGGGGCCTGCTCCAGGGCTGCTATGAGGTCAAAGCCAGCCACCTGGAGCTGGACATCGAAATCCTCATGGCCTAGGGCGCCCGCCGGCAGAGCCAGGGGGCTGGATCTTTCTTCCAATAAAGATGCTTACTGCCCGGCCGGAGGCTCCGTGGTTGAGCGTCGACCTATGAACCAGGAGGTCACGGTTCGGTTCCCGGTCAAGGGCACATGCCCGGGTGGCGGGCTCGATCCCCAGTAGGGGGCCTGCAGGAGGCAGCTGATCCATGATTCTCTCTCCTCATTGATGTTCCTCTCTCTCGCCCTCTCCCTTCCTCTCTGAAATCAATTAAAAAACGATTATTTTAAAAAACAATGCTTCCTGAACCAAGATGGCGGCATAGGTTAACGCCGGAGTTTGCTGCTTTGAACAACTACTTCAAAAGTGAAACCAAAAAACGGAAGGGACATCACCCAGAACCACAGGAACGCTGGCTGAGTGGAAGTCCTACAACTAGGAGGAAAGAGAAACACATACGGACACTCAGAGGAGGCGCAGTGCTGAAGTCAAATTCTGAGGTGCGGAGTGTGCGGAGCGGGCTGGCGGCGGAGGGCGTGGTTGGCGTTTTCAATCGGGAGGGAGTCGCAGACTCTGAGCTCCAGATCCGGGCGAGTCTTTAGGGACCCAGACTCAAACGGGAGCAGCGGGACTGTCTGGCTTCGGTCAGAGCGAGTGCAGCTTTCTCTCCGAGCTTTGCAGCGGGTGCTGGGACTCAGAGAGGCAGAGCCCCTGGGGACAGGACTGAGAGCCGCCATAACTGCTCTCTCCGGCCCACCCTGTTGATCCTGTGCGACCCGCCCCGCCCAAGCCCTGCACAGAGGCATTTGCCGGATAGCCTCAGGCAAAGGCTAGATTAGCACCTCCCTAGAGGACAGAAGTTCTCTCACTGCAGACACAGCTGATTCTCACAGCCACTTGGCCTGGAGGTCAAACCCTCCCTGGTATTAGCTACAACAATCAAGGCTTAACTACAAGACTGCGCACAAAGACCACTAGGGGGTACACCAAGGAAGCATAAAAAATGCGGAGACAAAGAAACAGGACAAAATTGTCAATGGAAGATATAGAGTTCAGAACCACACTTTTACGGTCTCTCAAGAACTGTTTAGAAGCCGCCGATAAACTTAATGAGATCTACAAGAAAACTAATAAGACCCTCGATCTTATATTGGGGAACCAACTAGAAATTAAGCATACACGGACTGAAATAACAAATATTATACAGACTCCCGACAGCAGACCAGAGGAGCGCAAGAATCAAGTCAATGATTTGAAATGTGAGGAAGCAAAAAACACCCAACCGGAAAAGCAAAATGAAAAAAGAATCCAAAAATGCGAGGATAGTGTAAGGAGCCTCTGGGACAGCTTCAAGCGTACCAACATCAGAATTATAGGGGTGCCAGAAGATGAGAGAGAGCAAGATATTGAAAACTTATTTGAAGAAATAATGACAGAAAACTTCCCCCACCTGGTGAAAGAAATGGACTTACAGGTGCAAGAAGCGCGGAGAACCCCAAACAAAAGGAATCCAAAGAGGACCACACCAAGACACATCATAATTAAAATGCCAAGAGCAAAAGATAAAGAGAGAATCTTAAAAACAGCAAGAGAAAGAAACTCAGTTACCTACAAGGGAATACCCATACGACTGTCAGCTGATTTCTCAACAGAAACTTTGCAGGCCAGAAGGGAGTGGCAAGAAATATTCAAAGTGATGAATACCAAGAACCTACAACCAAGATTACTTTATCCAGCAAAGCTATCATTCAGAATTGAAGGTCAGATAAAGAGCTTCACAGATAAGGAAAAGCTAAAGGAGTTCATCACCACCAAACCAGGATTATATGAAATGCTGAAAGGTATCCTTTAAGAAGAGGAAGAGGAAGAAAAAGGTAAAGATACAAATTATGAACAACAAATATGCATCTATCAACAAGTGAATCTAAGAATCAAGTGAATAAATAATCTGATGAACAGAATGAACTGTTGATTATAATAGAATCAGGGACATAGAAAGGGAATGGACTGACTATTCCTGCGGGGGAAAGGGGTGTGGGGGATGCGGGAAGAGAATGGACAAAAATCGTGCACCTATGGATGAGGACATTGGGTGGGGAGTGAGGGCGGAGGGTGGGGCGGGAACTGGGAGGAGGGGAGTTATGGGGGGAAAAAAAAGAAGAACAAATGTAATAATCTGAACAATAAAGATTTAATTTAAAAAAATAAAATAAAATAAAATAAAAAACAATGCTTCCTGACCACAGTCTCGCCCTTTGGGAATTAGCCCCACAGAAGAGGGATTGGCCGCTGACCTTCCTGCTTCCACCCCAAAAAGGCTCCCCAGGCCCTGGCTCCTCGTGCAAACCTGACCAATCAAGAGCCTGAAAGAGACCCCAGGGCCCAGGTCAGGCTCGGACCCCTCGCCGGTCCGACCCGGCCCCTGGCCCCCGCCCGGGAGGCACCAGCTTTGCTCCTCTGCAGCCCCTGCCCAGGCCTCGCCTCTCAGGGAAGGACACAGAGTCTGGCCGAAGCCGAGCAGCCAGGAGGCCTGGATCTTGCAGGCCTGTGCTTGGTAGGGCATGGGGTGGGGTCGGGGGGTAAGGGTGGGGGAGTCCCCCCTCGTCCTGCACAGCACCTGGCCCAGAGCCAGGAGGACGGGGCACCCCAGCTGGGTAACAGCAGGACAGGCGCTGCGCCTCGCTGGGGGGCAGCCAGCCAGAGCTGCCGTGCGGAGGCCAGGACAGGGGCTGGGAGCAGCAGCTGTGCCTGCCACTCGCCTCCCCTCCTCCTCCCCGCTGCTGGCCCAGCCCGGAGAACCAGGCGTGGGGGGCGAAGGGGTGGCAACTAGCTGAGGAGAACTAGGGTGGGATCAGGGGGAAGGTCATTCGTTTTGGGGTGCAGCCTCTGAATGCTGCCACCTCCTTAGAGGCAGCTGTGCTGGCCTCCCCCCCAAGCCCCTCACACAGATTGCTTCTGTCCCCTAACGGTCCCCAGAGGTCACACCCTCTGCGGGTCTGCGAGGTGTGCTGGTGGCCTCAGCTCTACTGGGCCTCCTACTGCCTCTCGGCATCCGTGGCTCAGCCATCTCTGTATCTGATCTCTCAGTCTCTGCGCTGTCGTCCTCGCCCAAGGTCCCTCGCTCTCAGCCTGTGTCCCTCGGAGGTTCGCCCCTGAACCTGCATCCCAGAGGTCCAGGGCCCTCCCCGGGCTTCGTGATGGACGGCCTTGCAAGGGAGTTGGGATGAGTGGGGCGATGCACATGCCAGAGGTCCTCACGGGCCTCCCGGCCTGCCAGGCTTTCCCTCCCGGGGCCTGTGTGTGTGTGTGTGTGTGTGTATGCATGCACACATATGTGTGTGCATGTGTGCATGCAGGTGCAGTGCATGCATGTGCACATATATTTGGTGCGCATAGACACGTGTGCATGTGTGTGTGTTTGGGGTTCAGGGGAGGGTGTCTCCAGAACAGGTGTGGCAGGTTCAGGTTCCAATGCCCATTCCCTCAGGCAGCTGCTGTGGCAGTGATGCGGCCAGGCACCTCGCTCTTCCAGGGGCCCCCCCTTCAGGAGCTTCCGACACAGCTCCCTGCTCCCCCTCCCGCAGCAGCAAGTGCAGGCACCCCGTGAGGTCTGCACGCTGAGCTGACCGTGAGGGGGATTCTGCAGGACCAGCCTGGAGGCCCCACCCTGCCCGGCGAGGGTTTGTGTCTGACTCTCAGCCTTCAGTGGACATGGGCCTCCCAGGGGACGCAGAGAGGGCCCGTCCTGGGCCCGGCTAGAGATTCTGCTTCCTTTGGGCTGAGAGAGGCCAAAGGTCACAGTCGGGAAGCACTGAGAGAAGGCTGTCCCAGCCCAGGCTCTGCACCGGCCTCGGCCCCTGTGGTTCTACCTGGTGATGAGGATGCTGACCTGGGCCAACGGAGGTGACTCTGGCCGAATGGGGGGCCTTGTTGTGCGGAGGAGGCAGAGGTGGGGGTGGGGGGGGACAGGGCAGGCACAGTGCCAGCCACACAGGAAGCTTAGACTCAGGGATGGGGAACGGGAGGAAGGGGATCGGGGTGACCTGCGGGTACATTAGCCGGAGAAGGAACATTAAACCACGAAGCACATTGCTGTCACACAACAGAACCTGAGCGACCACACCGGACAGTGTCCGCCCCAGTAACTCATGTCCTCAGCGTCTCAGCAGGGGACGGCCGCGGGGACAGGGTGGCTGATGGGAACACTCGCGCTGAAGGCCGCCAGAGGGCGCTGCAGACTCTGAGACTCGGCCTCGGGGACGACAGACGCTGTCCTGGCCTCACGTGTATTTATTTCTCGTGGAGAAAGGATCCAGGACAGGGCGCCCAGGCCCTTCCGGGACCCAGTGCACGTGGCCCCCGAGGGAGGCGCGCTCACCTGCGGGCAGCCCGCCCCGCGCAGGGCAGCCGCCTGGCACCTGTGCCTGTGCCCGGCTCCCCTGGTCGGGCCGGTGCACCGTGAGGCGTTGGCGGCCACCAGGCCCCAGGCCCAGGGCCCCCTCCGCCTCCTTCCGCTCCCCGGCGGCGAGAAGGGTGCCGCTGAGTCCAAGCGGAAAGGAGGGGTGACTCCGAGGTCAGGCTGGCTGCTTTCTGACCGCAGGGCTCCCTGGGGGGGGGGGGGGGGCTGTACTGCCCTCCGGGAGGAGACCCACGTGGCGTTCAGGAATGGCTTCAGCTTCACGTCAGATTCATCTTCAGTTTAGGACTGAGTAAAATTAAACCGTTCTCACCAAAAAGGAAAACAGACATATGGCCTGATCCCACTTTAATGACAGGGTTTCTCTCTGTGAAAACGCAGGGATCTGTCTAGGCGGCTGCTACGCCCGAAATGTCACCGGCGGTTATATTTGAAGGAGGAGGCTTGAGGCAATATTTTTATTTCCTTTTGGTACTCTGCGCTGCTGCAGAGCTTCAGTGTGGGGTGTGCAAGAGGCAGCCAAGCAATGATTCTCTCATCATTGATGTTTCTCTCTCTCTCTCTCTCTCTCTCTCTCTCTCTCTCTCCCTCTCCCTTCCTCTCTGAAATCAATAAAAGTATATATTAAAAAAAAAAATTAGCAAGTACAAACACCACCCGCCCAGTTAAAGTTGAATGTCAGGTAAACAACAAAAATGTTTGTCCGCGTATGTCGCACACATGCATGGGGACGCACTTCCACTAAAGAAGCAGCCATTGTTGGTGTGACGTTCGGACGTAACTGGGCATCCTGAGGTGGGTTTTCCAGTCTTGTTTTTGTTGTTTAAACGGCTCACCCAAACTTCCCCAGCCTGGCCGGCCTCTGACACGATGAACCTGCTTAAAAATGACGCTGTCTCTGGCCTGCACATCTCCCGATGCAGGACCAGATACCGCAGTCTGGGGGATCCAGGGAGCTGCCGCTTCTCTGCTGTTGGGGTTCGGGTTCGGTGCCCACTGCCCCTCGGCCACAGGGGGCAGCTGTCCCCTGGCTGAGCCCACCCCCACCCCCAGCGGGCGGGGAACCTGTGCCTTTGCGCCGTCTGCCAGCGGCTCCTGCCTGCACAGGCGGGGAGAGGCCCAGGGCGCGGGGCTCAGGACCCGCCAGGCCCTCTCCTCCCACCTCTCCCCTGCCCACAGCAGGTGGCTCTCCAACTGCCCAGCCTCTGCCCTCACCGCTCATCTCCTCCCACCTTGCGAGCTGGTTCTGACTTGGTTCGCACCAGGGGAACCCACCCCTCCTCCCTGTTTCCTTCCTCACACCAAACGCTCAGCCTGACCGATGTGGGGGAGAGGGGGCTCCTCCAAGCGGCAGGCAGGCCCACTGTGGCCGAGCCCACAGCTCCCGGGGCACAGCCAGCGCCCTCCTGCCCCATCACCCTCGCCGTCCAGGTCCCCCACTGGAGTGCCCTGAGCTCGTGCCCATGTGAACCTGCTGCTAAGCCCTGGCATTGCCTTGGCCAGTCTGCAGTGGCTCCTTTTTAAAAAATATATTTTATTGATGTCAGAGAGGAAGGAAGAGGGAGAGAGATAGAAACATCAATGATGAGAGAGAATCATTGATCAGCTGCCTCCTGCACACCTCCTACTGGGGATCAAGCCCGCAACCTGGGCATGTGCCCTTGACCGGAATCGAACCGGGGACCTTTCCGTCTGCAGACCGACGCTCTATCCACTGAGCCAAACCAGCTGGGGCTGCAGTGGCAGCTTTTAAGAGAGGGTGGCTTGCCCTGGCCAGGGTGGCTGAGTGGATGGAGCGTCGGCCCGCAGGCGGAAGGATCCGAGGTTGGATTCCGGTTAAGGGCATGGACCTCGGTCGCAGGCTGGATCCCGGAGTGCAGGAGGCAACCACCCGCTGTGTGTCTCTCTCTCCTCCGCCCTTCCACTGTCTAGAAAGATCAATGGGAAAATATACTCGGGCGAGAGTGCATAAAAACTACGATAAAATCTTGTTTAAAAAAGAGGGGCTGGCTTATCTGTTGTCTGCCTCCCCACCAGGTCCTAGCATCGGGCACAGGGCAGCGTCCACAGACGCTGGCAGCGTGACGGTTGGGAGCCTGTGGCTGGTGTGAGGCCCTCCCTGGGTAAGGGCCGAGAGTGATGTTTTAAAATAAAGACACTTTATTTACAGGTAATACAAAATAAACCACGGGGCAAGCTACTGTGCGGGGGAGGGACAGCCCAGCACGACCCCGCCCACCCCGGAAGAACTCATAGAAAAGACGTGAAGGGCAGAAGGAGTCGGAGCAGGGCCGGAAGCACCTTTGCTGACGGGGATGGGGCCTGCAGTCCTCAGCCGCCGTGGCCCCCGGTCACGTGGCCCCTGGCTGCTCCCTCGCCTCCTGGGCCTGGCGGGGGGGGCCGTGGCCAGGGCAGTGGGTGACGGCTGCAGGAGTGGCTGAGTGCATGGAGTAGGCGGGCGAGGGCTGGGGCGGGCGTGGGGCTGGCTTATTGCAGTGCTCCCGCCAACTTCCTCCCGGCTCCGGTCACTGGTCGCGTCCGCACCGTCCGTCCGGGGAGCAGCTGTGCCGGGCGAGGCGGGGTGCGGGGTCCTCAAAGCGACGATGTTGTGGAGTCCACCACCTCGCGACCGTTGCAGACGGTGGGGACGAACTGCGAGGCAGACCCTAGGGAGAGGGAGCTGGAGATGGGGGCTGACCCCCCAGTCCTCCATCCAGGGCGGGGCCCCCCCCCCCCCGCCTCCCGCCCTCGCCTGTGCCCAGCGGAGGAGTCGGAGGAGAAGCAGCAGCCCAGGGAGCAGGGCCCATGCTGAGGAGCGGGTGGGGAGGGCACAGGCGGAGGGGGAGGTCGGGGCGGAGGCTGACCTTGGCCGAGGCTGGGGCCGGCCCTGGCCGCGGTGCTGCCGAAGCGGCTGGTGGGCGCGCGGTGGCTGACCACGTTCTTCTGCGGCTGGAAGAGGATGATGTGCAGCTTGGGCGCGAAGAGGCAGCCGAGCACCACGGAGCCGCTGAGGCTGACGGACACGCACATGGTGGTGGTCTGCACCTGCGGTGGGCGGAGCCGTGGGTGAGCGGGTCCCAGAGGCCCAGGCCTGGCCCTGGGGCCCCACCCGCCGAGGCTGCGGGGCAGGGAGTGGGCGAGAGGGTAAGCGTCCAGCACTGGGCCTGGGCCCGTTCGCCAAGCCCCGGAGGGTTTCTGGGAAGGCTGGGCACCACCGGCATCGGCCCCGGTGGGCCATCTGCCCAGGGAGCCGAGGTACCAGCTGTGGGGTGATCATGCAGGGGAGCATGTACACATGGAGCGTGTGTGCACTTGTGTGTGCTCACGTGTGTGGAGGGACGCAGGTATGGAGGGCATGTGTGTAAGTGCATGTGTATCTGTTGGGCATGTGTATGTAGGGGGTGGGGAGTGTGTGCAGGGGCAGGTGGGACGAGGGGGGTGTGTGCCAGGTGTACTGAGGTGTGCACATGTGTGAGTGTGGAAATACATGCATGTGTGTATACCGATGTATGTGTGAATACTCTGTGTCTCAGGTGAGTCCTTAGCCACCTGTGATGAGCATGCAAATCCTATGCAAATGCGGGCTGAGTGAGAGCCATTCCCGCCCCGGCCCTGCCTTCCAGGCAGGTGGCCCAGCAGGTGCACAGCAGCCAAGCCCAGCAGACCCTGGCCCCCAGCACCGCCCACCGTACCTCTGTGCCGGGGGAAGGGCCTTTGCAGGGGCTCTGGCCTTGGTTTCCTGCTCCTTTAACTGTTAAGGTTGTCAGTTCAGACCCTGCTCTACACTCGCAAGCTGAGTGCCCTCAGGCAGGGACTGAACCTCCCTGAGGGTCCGTGTCTGCGTCTGTAAACGGGAGAGCCGCGAGGTTCACTCCAGCTGAGGAGTCGCCGAGAAGACCCTTTCCCACTCAGCAGCTCCCTGCGGCCTCTGCAGACAGGCCTCCATGAGCCCGCCGAAGCCGGAAGCCACCACCTGGGGTCCACCGGCTGTGCCTCCCTCCGCCGGTGCCCGGCCACGGCCCCTGCCCCTCTTTGCTTCTCTTTCCCTGCCTCCCCTGGTTTCATCTCTCAACCCAGAGGGACACAGCCCAGGGGGCACCACGCCTCACTGCACGGCTCCAGGGGCATCGGAGATGGTACCCTCTGGAGCTGCGCGCTCCCTGACCCTCCTCCTCACTCCAGGTCTCCACCTGCGCCTCTGCCTCCCTGCCCGCCATGTGTGCGTGCCTCCCTCCTCGACGCAGGGGCAGTGCCCACCCTCTGCTCCAATCAGCGCCCCCCTCACCATCGTCTCTACCCTCCCCCCCGCCCCCCCCCCCCGCCACTGTCTCCACCCCCCCCCCCCCCCCCCCCTCACCGGCTCCACTCTCCCTGTTCAAAGCTGCCTTCCTGCCTGCAGAGCCCAGTTCAAGGACTCCTCCTCCACGAAGCTTTTCCTGCCCGGGCAGGGTGGCTCGGTTGGAGCAGTTGGAGCGTCGTCCCATACACCACAAAGTGGCGGGTTCCATTCCCATCCAGGGCTCATACCCAGGTTGCGGGTTCAGCCCCCAGTCGGGCGCATATGGGAGGTAACCATCCATGTTTCTCTCTCCCTCTCTCTCTGCATTTTCACCGGAGTCGTTGTTAGCCTACCCCGGGCGGCAGCATTTCCTGACTTGTCTCTGTCATCAACCCCCTGCTCACCCACTAGCCCCGGACCCTCCCCCCCTCCCCCGAACAAAGCCGGGTCTCCCCTCTTCAGCCAACCTCAGCGCAGCAGGGCAGAGCCTCTGCTCATTGGACACCGCCCGCACCCCCGTCCCCCGCCCCCCCCCCCCCCCCGCCCCCAGGGGATGAGTCCTCGAGTCCCTCTCACTCCTCCGCCTCCCGGGCCGATTCCCCAGGCCCCCCTCAGCCTTCCCACCTTCCTCTTCCTCGGGGTCCAGTCCCAGCTGGGCCACCACAACCTGTGGGCCGCCGGGGAGCTTTTAAGCTGTGGGAGCCTCCGTGTTGTCAGAAGGCGAACTGAGACCCAGGAAACAGGAGGCCCGGGGCCCCACCCCAGCCTCCGCGGGGGCAGCTCACCCGGTAGTCGCTGGAGGTGACATAGAAGATGGGCAGGAAGGCCAGCCAGATGATGCAGGTGGTGTACATGGTGAAGCCGATGAACTTGGCCTCGTTGAAGTTCTCAGGGCACTTGCGGGTCTTGAAGGCGTACAGCGTGCAGAGCGCGATGAGCAGCACGTTGTAGGCCAGCGAGCCCAGCATGCTGGCGTCGCGGTGGTTGCAGCGCAGCGTCACCACCTCCCGCCGCTCGGGCGCCGTCTCCTTGCCCGTGCCCGGCGCCTCCACCACCAGCCAGGCCGTCACGATGAGCAGCTGCCCCGAGATGAGCGCCAGGCAGATGGCCACCTGCGAGGCGGGGCTGATGAAGCGCGGCCGCTGGGCGCCGTCGCGGGCGCCGCCGAAGATGCGCGCGATGCGGTTGGTCTTGGTGAGCAGGGCGGAGTAGCAGACGGCGAAGGCGGTGCCCAGGCCCAGGCGCCGCAGGGTGCACACGGCGGTGGAGGGCTTGGCCACGAAGACGAAGGTCATGCAGTAGCACAGGAACACGCCGCCCAGCAGGATGTAGCACAGCTCCCGGCCCGAGGCCTTGACCACGGGCGTGGCGTTGTGCCGCACGAAGACGCCCAGCACGAAGAGGGTGGCCAGGGCGCCCAGGCAGGCGATGGTGACGGGCCCTACGGCCCAGGCGTCGCCCCAGCGGATGTACTCCTGGGGCAGCTCGAAGCAGCCGGTGAGGCTGGCGTTGGGCCAGTAGCCCAGGCCGCAGTCGGCGCAGGTGAACTCGTCCCGCCGGTACTCGTAGGGCTGGCAGGGGATGCAGAGCCAGCAGCACACCTCGCCGGGCTGCACGCTCTTCACCTCGTTCCGCAGGCAGGGCTCGCTGCAGCGGGAGGCGGGCAGGGCGCCGGCCGAGGGCGCGGCCCAGGGGATGAGGCTGGCGTCCAGCGTCAGGCCTTCCGCCCAGTAGCCCACCTTCTGGTAGCGGTAGCGCCCGCTGCCCGCCCGCAGGTAGGTGAAGATGTTGTAGCGGCCGATGCCGTCGCCGAAACGGTCGAAGCGGACCTCGCTGTGGGTGTCGGCGGGGCGGAAGGGGGCTGGGGGGCGGGAGGGAAGGAGGAGAGGGCTGGATTGGTGGATCATCCTGTGCGGAACCCAAACCCCAGAGCTGAGGCCGGTCCTGTCCTTCTGACCCTCCCCCTCACACACGCACACGAAAGCCGGCCCAGCCCCCCGCAGGTTGGCTGAATGAGAGGCTATAACAAACCCCAACCCTAAGCCCCAAGTAGACCCCAATCTTAAAGCCCAGGCATTACCACAACCTAAAGTCCACAGTGACCCCCAATCACAACTCCCTCAAACCCAGCCCCAGACCTAACCTCCAAGCCAGGACCCAACACACTCCCGCTTCTCCCCTAACTTAACCCTGAGACCCCAACGCCGACCCGGGCCGAGGTCCAGTCCTGGTCCCACTAAATCCCCCCACTGACAACCCCAGCCCCAGCCTCGCCAGTCCTAACAGTGGGAGCTGAACCCCAACCTCAGTGGTCCCCTTAACCACTGAAGGTCCCCCAAATGTGCTTGGCAGGCAGCTCACAAATCACTTCTACACCCCGTGAACCTCAAGTCTCCCAGCCACACTCAGGGGGCAATTCCCTGGCATCCTGGGTCCCGGTGAGAAATCAGGGTTCAAGCAACAGCTGATGTGCTAGAGGCCCCGCAGGGAAGAATGCAGCCTGGATTCCATCAGGTCCCTGCAACCCCTAATCTTGCCTCCGGCCTCAGTGTCCTGAACACCAGCGCGAGCCCCCCTCCGTCCCACCACGCCCCGCCGCGGCCCCGCACCCACATCCGCCGGCCCAGACCCCGATTCGCCCATCACTCCGAACGCCAATCTTGTTGGCATGGCTACTCGTCCTGACCCCAGGCGGGGGCTCCAGGCTTTGCCAGCCCCGCAGCCCTCCCTGTCCCCCGGAATCCTTCCCGAAACATTCATGTCCCTCAAAACTGGACCTTGTATTCGCATAACCTTTGGCTTGAGTGGAAAGTCAAGGTTAGAAGAGAAATTTCCCAGGAAAATGGTGGCATCGGGGCTCACTCTCAAGCCGCCCTATTCTGACTCACGGCCGGTTGGCTGCCTGGGAACAGGCTGGGGCTCCTGGTCCCTGCGCCCTGCGTGTAAAGGGGCGGGAGCGGGAGGGAGGCGCCCCAGCAGGAACCAGAGACCCTCCAAGTGCAGGGCCAGCCAGACGCCCTCTCCGAGGCGTCTCAGCAAGTGGAGTCTCAGCAAGTGGAGGCTCGTCCTGGCTCCCGCTCGGGGCCTCCCTCCCTGCCCCCCCTCTCTGTCCCGGCCGTGACCCCCGGCGAGTCCCTTGCTTGCTATTTTCATGGCCAAGCCACAGACCCCAACCCATGGGCCTGCTCCCCTCGCCCTCCGCTGCCAGCCACCGGCGGGCGCCGCCAGCACCATTACCATCGAACTTGACGTTGAGCACGAAGTCCTTGTAGAGGCGCCGCCCGCTGACGGGCCGCATGGCGTCGCAGAGGCGGGTGGTGTTGGGGCAGAGGGCGCGGTGCATGTTGTGCAGCGCGTGGGCCATGGCGTACACGGCGTTGACCACGAACATGATCTTGGACTCCTGCTCAAAGGGCACGGCCCGCAGGGAGTGGGCCGCGCAGTCCCGCCGCCGGAAGCTGCAGCGGAACCTCTGCTCCCAGAACTCGCGGAACCAGGGGTTGCGGCTGTTGTTCCAGGGGTCCAGGCCGCGGAAGTAGGCGGCGAAGTCGCCGATGGGGTAGGAGGCCAGCTCGATGGTGATGGCGCCCTCGGCGGCCCCCTCGCTGCCGGCCACCACGCTCTCCAGGGCCCCCCAGCCGTCGCTGGCCACCCAGGTGAAGCTGGCGTTGAGGCGCTGGGCGGCGGCCAGCAGCTCGCGCGCGTCCTCAGAGCGGGCGAACAGCACGGCCACGCGGGCGCTGGGCTTCAGCAGCAGCGAGCGCACCACGCCCTCGAAGGCCGCGCGGCTCATGGCGCGGCCCACCTTCTCCGAGGTGGCCACGCAGATGTTGCGGGCACGGGCCTCCAGCTCGAAGGCCTCGATGCCCGTCTCGCCGTAGTCGCCCTCGGACGCCACGGTGGACACGTAGGTCCAGTTGAAGAAGCGGAGGATCTCGGCCATGGCCTTGGCCTGGAAGAAGTCGGGGGGCACCGTGCGGGCGAAGTAGTCGTAGCGGGACTTGTCGCTCAGCTTGGCGCTGGTGGACGCGTAGCTGATCTGCGGGATCTGAAACAGCCGCAGGAGGTTGGCCACCTGGGGCGGGGGGGGGGGGGGGCGGAGAGGGCAAAGGTCAGAGGCGGAGGTGTCCCCGCAGCTCTCCGACCTCGGGATCAAGTGTTCACGTGGTCGGTCATGAGGTCACCCTCTCCCCAAAGACCCGGATCCTGGGTGCTGTGGCGTCCCCCACCGGGGACGGGGAGAGGGAAGACCCAGGCTGAGCCCAGGCCCCGAGCCACCCCTGAGCTCCTCCGCTGCCCCCCTCAGACACATGGCAGTTGCAAAAGTGGGAGCCAAGGGAAGGCCCAAGCCGTGGGTGGGGAGAGGTTGGCGCTTGGCTGCACAGGGAGGAGGAAGGCGCCAGATGGCATCGGGGATGCTCAGGGCTCTCACGCCCTCTACCTGTCTGGGCAGTTAACCTTCCCAGAGTCAATCCCGGTGGGATGATGGGGAAAGAAGGAAGAGGCTTCCCAGGAAGGAAGACCCAGATCTGAGGGCCCCCATGGCCCTGAGAGCCCCCGGGGGGGTCTCCTTTGGGCACCACTGGCTGCCCCGAAGCCCCTCGCCCACCCTGGCAGCTTGGACCTGTCCCGACAGTGCCGTCTCGCCAAGGACCTGGGGAGGGGGGGCAGGTGAGAGCAGGAGAGGCTCAAGGTCCGCAGGAGGAGGCCCAAGAGACCAGGGGACCCTCTCCACACCCACACATTCTGCTTCTCTCCCGCCGTTTTGCTCCTCGGGGCTGCTCCTGGCTTCTATCTCCCACCCCTTTCCAATCCGCAGAGAGATGAGCTAACAGATCCCAGGCCCTTGGCTGAGAGCCCCAGGTTCACATCTCTACGTTGCGAGGGCCTTGGCGTATGGCTGCCTCTCTCCAGTCTCAGCTTCCTCACCTATGAAATGGGTTAATAATCATAACAGCCAGTACTGACTGCCCTTCTGACCCGCCAGCCCCCTGATACATGCTGGGCATGTATTACTTCATTAAATGCCCATCACAACCCTATGCCCTGTGAGTCCCGCTTTATAAGGGGGAAACTGAGGCACAGGACACCGAAGTGGTGCCCAGAGTCACTCAGTGGGGGGCGGGGGGGGGGGGGGAGCCGGGATTCAAACCTGGAGCTCTGACGCCAGAGACCTGGCCATTGCCTCCTCAGGGCTGTTTCACCTCAGGTGTGTGTGTGGGGTGGGTGGGTGATGGGAGTTGATGTTTTCCCTGCACAATCTCTAAAACTGGCCCCCCCCCCCATGTGATGGGGCACTTTCTCAGTCCCCTGTAAAAAGCCACTCCCAGGAAGCTTCTAGTTCCTCCTCCAGGGCAGGGCAGGGCAGCCCCGAGGCCTGCTCAGTGGGACTCTGTCTCCAGCCTCAGTTTGAGCAGCCCCCCCCCCCCAATACCTGGATGGAGACGTCACTGTAGGAGCCGCCGATGACACCGGTGATGGCAGTGGGAGCATCGTCGTTGGTGGCATAGGAGCCGTCGGGGCAGACGTGGCGTGAGCCGTCGGCGCCCCGGCTGAGCGAGGCGCGCACGAAGTCCAGGGCCTGCTCCAGGGCGTACGTGTCCTTGGAGCAGGTGTCCAGTATGTGCGCGCCCAGGCGCACGCCCGGCAGCAGGCGCGGGTCGCGATTGATGCGGTCCAGCGCGAACAGCATGGCCTCCAGGCGCTGGATGCCGCGGTGCTCGTTGACTGGCCCGCACTCCTCGGCCGGGCCACCCTTCTGGTGCACGGGGAACAGCCCGCCCAGCACCAGGTCCCCCTCCAGCGTCAGCACCTTCTTGGCTGGGCCCTCGGCCCCAGCGCCCCACAGCAGCAGCACCAGGAGTCCCAGCAGTGCTCCCATGGCCCCAGAGCGGGTGGGTGGGCCCCGCAGACCTGAGCCTCCAGGGGGTGAGGGCAGAAGCAGCAAAGGCAGCGAGAGGGGGAGAGGAGGAGCAGGAGCGGACAGATAGGAAGCAAGACGAGAAGGGGCCCAGCTCCTGCAGAGAGAGACAGACAGACAGAGAGAAGCAGAATCTGAGAGCGGCTACTCCTTCTGACTCTGCCCCCCCCTGCCCCAAACCGCTTCCCCAGGCACTCAGGAGCCAGGGAGGGGTGATGTCACTGACAAGGCTAGGAGCTCCCGGACACCCCTGGCCTGTCTCTCAGCCCTGCCCTGCGCTGGGGCTGGAGGTGGGCCCTGTGTCTATTCCAGACTCAGCAGAGAGGGCAGGAGACGGCACAGGAGACCCCAGCCAACACCCATCTCACCGCAAATCGAAGAGCGTCCCGGACCCTCACAAACCTCCCAGGACCCCAAGGTCAACAACTTCACAGCAGAGACCAGATGCGACTTACAGATGGGCCCAGTGCCACCCCGAGGCACGGCTTTCCTGACGGGGCCCTGCTGGCTGCAAGCCCGCCAGGGAAAGGGTGTTCGTCTCCAGCTCCTAGGGCGGCTGGCGCCCAGGTGAGCCCCAAGGGTCCTACCGTGGCCTCTGGTTCTTCAAAAGCCAACCTGAGCCCCCTCCCTGGGGGAGTAAGAGAGACCCCGGGCGCTGCAGTTAGGCAGCCAGGAGGCCCCAGGGAGGGACGCCCAGGTGACCCCCAGTCCTAAGGCAGCAGGGGATGTAGATGTGAGGATGCCTGTGTCCGTCGGGTGGGGACAGCTCGTCTGGTCCGAACCTCACAGCCGTGCTCAGGGCGAGGCTTTCCCACCTGAGCTCGGCGCTAAAGCTGAGACTTTGCCTCCGCTTCCTCTCCAGCTCAGAGCCCAGCAGAAAGTCATGTCTCCAGCCGCCCCAACCTCAGTCAGGGTCCTGTTCCCCCGGCCCAGTCCTCTCCCCTCTGCACCCGTCACGTGCCAGCTGCCCTCCCAGACCCCTGCCCCGCACCACCAGCTCACGCAGTCACGCAGCCTGGGGAGCTGGGAGAGGGGACTGGAGCCTGAAGAAGGGCAGCAACTCACTCCAGGACCCAAGTCCTGGCCACGGAGGCTGAGCACGGCCCTCTGCCCCTCACCTCCCCAGGGCTGACCTGCTGCTGGTGCCAGGGTGGGGGACTGGGGTCCTGTGGGGGCCGAGAGGGAGGGGAGCAGGGACCCAGATGGGGGCTGAGGCCCAGACCTGTCAAGACCACGAGCCTTTTACAGGGGCGCCAGGGACCGAACCCCCAGAGGAGACAGACGCTGCAAGCAGGCAGCCCCCCGGGGCCTGGGCCCCAAAATCCGGACAGGGAGCGATCCAGCCCGAGAGGCTGAGACAAAGATAGAGAGAGGCACAGACAGAAAGACGGACCAAAGGACAGAGGAGCAGGGGAACGAAGCGAGGGTCGAGGGAGCGCCGTGCAGGGCGAGCGTTTCCTGGGGAAGGAAGGCGGGACGCCTGGGGCGGTCTTCCCGCTTCTGGGTGCCCCGGCAGGGACGGGGCGCCCCGAACTCGGGGCCCGCGGGACACTGGGACGTGGGGTCGATGCGGGCGGCTGCAGCCATGGGCTCACCCTACCTGCGCGCCCGGCTCTGGCGCGGAGAGGAACGGAGAGAAGCCGGGGGCGCGGGTTCAGGCTCCCACTTGCTCGGTCGGTCGCCAGCTCGGCGGCTGTGAGCTCTCCGCCCGCTCGCCCCGCCGCTTTCAATGCTGCCGCCCCGCCCCCGGCCGGCCGGCCCGCCCCGGCCACTCCCCCGTCCCTCCCCACTCCTACCTCCCGCTCCCACCCCGCCCCCGCCCCCGCCAGACTCTCCACCCATGCGCCGCCTGCTTGGACTCCCGGCCCGGACGCCGCCCGGAGCTGTCCGCCTCGCGGTGCTGAATCCTCGCCGCTCCCGCCAGGCGCTGGCCCCGGCCCTTGGCCCCTCCGCCCCGCGGCCATATCCGCTCCAGGGAGCCGCGGGCAGGGGGCGCAGGGCTGGGACGGTCACTGAGCCCCAGGAGGAGGGCAAGCGCTAAGGGTTCCCACCTGTGGGGCAGTGGGGCTGGCCTGGGGTCGCGGGGTGAAGGGGCAGGTGGGAGAAGGGTCAGGGCTTAGACAGATCTGTCCCTGTCCTCACATCCCCCCCCCCCCCACACACACACACTCGGGGCGGGGGCATGTGTCTTCAGCCCCATGTGGGAGCTGGGGCCTGAGTCACCCGGAGGAAGGGATGGGGGGGCGGTCAGAGGAGGATGGGGCCTCCTCTTCCTTCCTGCAGATGAGCTTTAAGCTGCTACCTTCCCCCATCCCCCAGCCCTGACCCCCACTGCAATCCTCACTCTCATGTGCAAAGGGGGAAGGGGTACTGTAGGCCAGGGACTAGGTCCACCCTGAGGGACACGCTGGTGCTGGCAGGGGCACCTGGGAGGGAGAGGACTGGGGAAGAGGCTTCTGAAACAGGCGGCCACGTGGGAGGGAACGGGCTGGCGCCTGAGCAGAGGGAGGACAGCTCTGGACCCTCCTCCGGCAGCAGAAAGGGGAAGGCGGCCCAGGTACCAGCCCAGGGCCGTGGGGGGGACGAGCTGCAGCGCCAGGCTGAGGGACCTGGGGAGGGGCCCGTAGGCACAGGCACTAACACGTGCGAGGAGCACGGCATCCCCACCCGCTCCCCTGGGCTGCCCTTTCTTCCACAGGTGTGAGCAGAGGCAAGGCTCGCTCAGACACATGCTAACGAGCACACGCCAAGCCCAGGCCCTCAGGCACACGCATCTACGTGTGCGTGGCAGTTGGGGGTAGGGGGGGTGTCGGCATGGAAGGACAGGCTTTTGCCTCAACATAGAAACCCAATGCCCCACTGCTCTGGAAAGAACACAGCTGTGAAACACACAAACACATCAAACCCCAACCAACAAACTCCATGGCTGACGGGAGGCGATGGGGCAGCGGGTGCGGGTTCAGAGCTGTCAGACAGGCTGCGGAGGGAGACAGGCTGTCTTCCCGTGCCCGCTGCTCTCACCTCACCTTGCGGGCTGGCTCAGGGACTGCTCCCTGGGGTGGGTGAGCAATGGGCCAGGCCTGAGCAGAGCGGTTGACAGCAGCAGGACGCTGAGGTGAGAGGAGCCGCACAGCAATCCCAGCTCGCTCACCAGGCGGCCTCACAGAAGACGCCGGGCGTTAAACACAGCGCCCGCCCCATGGCAGGGCCCCCGACAACGGGCTGCATGCGCTGCACAGTCCCACGCAGCACACAGACACGCAGTTTCACACCCAGCCCCACGGAGCTGCACATGTGGATGCAGTCATACGTAGCAATACATGTAAACCCAAACACTGTGCTGTACATGCAGATACAGCCATAACACACAGCTTTATTTATTTATTTTTAATATATTCTTATTGATTTCAGAGAGGAAGGGAGAGAGAGATAGAAACATCAATGATGAGAATCACTGATCGGCTGCCTCCTGCAGGCTCCCTGCTGGGGATCGAGCCTGCAACTTGGGTTTGTGCCCTGACCCTGAATTGAATGTGACCTCCTGGTTCATAGGTTGATGCTCAACCATAGTGCCATGCCAGCTGGGCCATAACACACAGCTTTAAATGTGGACACACATATAGCTGTACACATGGACACAAACATATGGTCATACAGCACGTCATGAATAATAGAGCCACCCCTGAGGCTCGTTCAAGCTGCCCTCTGCCCTGTGTGGACACACACAGCTGTATTCACGCAGACACACAGAAAAAGACAACTGTACATGTCAACACACAACCACACACACAGCGGTCCAGACACAGCCACACACAGAGAGTAGCGTGTGGAAAAAGCCCCCAGTGATGCTCCCAGCAGCCAGCCTCACACCCGGTCACACACAGCCATCCACACGAACACAGCCACCTCCAGCACGTCACACCCTCATGCCCACTGGGCACAGCCTCCCCAGCAGACCCATCCATGGTCACACACAGAATCAAAAGCACGAGCACGTGTACACATGCACACAGGCAGGCACACAGACGCGGGCGGGCACAGCAGGGACACCTCACCTGCGGGGCAGATGCCAGCATGAACACAGGCACACTTGAGCCACAGTCACGAATGCTTCCCTTGCAGGCAGGCAAAGGCAGGCTGTGAGCTCCCCACTCCTGAGCCCGGGGGCACCCTGTGCCCAGTTCCCACACCCCTCATCCTGCTCTCCAGCAGCCTGGGGAACCTCTGGCACTGCTGCAAGGGAGGGGCAGCTGCACTGGGGCCACAGAGCAGGGAGTGGAAGGCCTCCCGAACTCCTGTCTGCCCCCCACCCCAGGGTGCTGTCCCCCTCCTCTTCTTGGGCTGGGGGTGCTCCTGCCCACTCCCTACCTATCTACACAGGGCTCCCCAAGGTAGAACACACACACACAAATGCACAGCACAATCCCAGGTGAAACAATAAAGTCTTTTGCTTTATTCTGGTTCCTGGAAGCTCCAATGTGAATCTGAAAAAAGATGTAACAGAGGCAGCAGCCCCGGGCTGGGGGCAGGGAGCAGTCCCTGCTCCTTTGCCCTGGGAGCCAAGAGGGCAGTGAGGACAGGGCTTAGCTAGAGGCCGGGGTCGAAGTCAGGTCCCCTGAGACCCCTGGCCCTCGCCTGGGCCCGGAAGGTGGAGGAGGAGGAGGCTGAAGAGTCCGGTCCGTTCCTTAGTGACTGCAGCACAGAGGAGGGGGCCACGGGCTACTCCTCGCCTTTTTCAGGGGTACTGAGCACCCTGGGCCACTTGGGAGCACCCAGGGGCTCAGCCTCAGGGCTCAGCCTGGAGTCTCCCAGGGGTCCCTCACCCTCCAGGTCCAGCTCCTCAAAGGATGAGCCGCTGGCGCCCGACTCGCTGTAGCTGTGCTCACTGCGGGTGTCACTGTCGTCCCAGCTGCGGCTGCTCACCCCTGCGGACAGTGTGGCTGCAGAAGTCTCCCGACTGCCAGGACCCACCTCCAGGCTCACAGAACTCGCATCGCTCAGCGTGTCAGCTCCTGGGCCAGGAAGAGGGAGCGCAGGTTAGCCAGAGAGAGGACAGAGCTCGCCCACCAGCCCAGCCACTCAGCCCACACTGTTCATGAATAATAAAGCCAGCCCGGCCCAGGAGGCTCATTCCAGCTGTCCTCTGCCCTCTGCCCTGACCCGCTGCACTGACAGGGCAGAGGGAGCAAGGAGGAAGGGGGGAGGGCAGCCTGCTGCGCACGCCTCTCTCTACCCGAATTAGCCTCAGTTCCCTGCATTCCCACAAAGCCTGCTCCCTCCCCAACAGTCCATTAAGGATTACTGGGCCCTGAGGTGAGGAGCTGAGGGTAGAACAAAGAGACCAATTGATGCCCCCCCCCCCACCCCCATTTCAGGCTTGGGGAGAGGTATGTCCAAGGCCAGGGACTGAATGTTACCCAGAAGGCATGAGGACGGGAGACTGTGCCCCTCCCCCCATGGAGGGCCCCCAAGGAGCAGCCACATGCGGGAAGTCAGCTGGCCCCTGCCTCTGGCCCCTGAGCCTGACCGGAGGAGGCAGCGGCGGTGGGCCGGAGAGCGATGGAGTCCTGAGGAATCCTCTCCTGGCTGTTTGAAGGAGGGTGCTGGGAGGAAGCACTTTGGGGCTCTCTTCTCCTATGCCCGGGTCACCCCAGGGAGGCCCTTACCTACCCCAACCACTGGGGGTTCCTGAGCCACAAAGCAGGAGGGGACCGCGAGAGCACTCTGCTGGCAGCCGGGAGCCCGAGACAGTGCTGCACAGGGCTGGGGGCCCGTCCCCGCAGCCTGCTCCTCCACCCCCATGCGCTCCAGGCAAGCAGCCCTTCATCTGCCCTAAGAGCAACCCCTCAATTCATCGCCCAGATCAGAGGCACTGACCACAGCTGGGGTGGCGAGGAGGGCAAGGCTCAGGCCCACCGTGTGCGGACCCGGACTGAGAGGAAGCTGACAGGCCCTCTCCTGCGTGAGAGGGAGGGGCGGCTGTCCAACATCACAGAAGGTGAGGGGGGCAGCGTCCCCAGATCCTGTCTCCATAGTGATGGAGCCCAGAGCCAGGCGCAGCTGGGACTGCCTGGCATTTGGACTTGGCCTGGAACTCTGATTAAGCCTCAGCTGGAGCCCAGGGTGGGATGGGAATTTGGGGTCTGCCCTCCTTGTCCCCTTGGCCCCAGGAAAATGTCCTCTGGGCCCAGGGCAGAGGTGCAGTGAGCCCTGGACGCACCAGGCTGCTGGCCCAGCGCGTTCTTCTTGCCGGGGCCCCAGTCATGCCTCTCCTGTACAGGCATTCAAGAGGGAGCCCAGGCCACGCCCTGATTTAGGGGTGGTCCCCTCTGACCTGGGTCAAGACTCCAGTTCCTCACTGCTCCTTAAATAATGATGAGCACCCAGGGCTGCAGGCCTGAAAGGAGCTAACGAAGAGGCCCCATTAAATTCTCCTGTTCTTCCCACGCACTGGCTCTCTTGGGACCAGGGCATGGAAACCTCTCCTGCTCCTGGGCTGGGAGTGGTCAGGGAAGGAGCCCAGGGAGCCTGGGATGTGGGGACACTCCTGGCAAAGGAGCACAAGGCAAGGCGTCAACACCGCCTCCCTCCCCAGGGCTGCTGGGGCAGAGACGAAGCTGCCACCTTCACCCCAGGCCCCTCTCCCCCGCTGCCCACAGCCAGCGCAAGGCGATCAAATACGCATCGCCTCCCTGGAGCTGAATAATACATCAATGTAATCACAGGCACAGGCAGCTAATCACCCCTCACCTCCCAGCCCAAGAGGGGCCCAGCAGGGAGGCAGGCGGGACAGGCCAAGCCTTAGGCGGCCAGGCTCCCAACATGCACTGCTATGCAAGTGGCCTGCACCTGGCGTCAGGGCAGACCCTGTCAGAGGGGAGCAGACCCCTGGGCCCCCACACCAGGGAGTGGGCGGGCAGGCTGGTGGGAGGACAGGCCCAGGCGCTAGGGGTGTGGGAGCGCTGGCTGTAGCCAGCTGTAGTGGGTGCCAAGCAGTTCCTGGCAGGTGGTGTTTGGGAGGGAGGTTGGGTAGGTGGGCCAAAAAAAGGGGGAGAGGCACCAGAGGGGGGTCAAAGGAAGGTCAAGGCATGGCCCCTTCCTGCCTGGGGACTGCCTGGGCCCGCTGACCTTGGGCCACATCCTGTGTCCACAGTAAGGGCACGGAGCGTCTGCCAGCACTACAGGAGGGTGGGAGTGCCCCAAGGAGGTAATTAAGCGGCAGATGAAGCTAACTGTGCTGGACGCAGCCCCTAGGGAGTGGACTGCCTCCCACCCCCCCACCCCCAAAGCTCGGGCCTCCCCAGGTGACCTTGGCTGCTGAGGGACCGACAGAGGGAGTGTCCTAAAGGGCATGAAGAGGGACAGCCGCTCCTCCCGCCTGCACCCCTCCCACCGGGGCGGGACCTCCAGGCCCACACGGGGCTCCATATCCATGACCAAGGGTCAGAGCCCGGGACCCTTGGGATGTTCCCAGCAGGTCTCCTCACCCTTGGGGACAGTTCACGGTCATAGAGGTCATGGCAGGAGGGTGGGCTGAGGACCGGCACACATCCTCTGGCCTGCACCTGGGTCTGAGGGCTGGCTCTGCGGGAGGGGCCAGGTACCGAGCCCCTGGCCCCTCTGCACGCTTTCTGGCTGCTCCGCGGTAGGGAGCAAGCGGCCGGCTCTGGGCGGGGCCAGGAACTGGGGGCGGGAGAACACCTGTCCGCTCACCTTCCAGATCCAGTGCCAACCTTTTCCTGGTGAGCCCCCCAGGCCACCAGTGGCGCCTTTCCTGAGCCGCTCAGCCCCTCCCACGCGCATCCAGCTGTCCGTGAGCTGTTTCCAAGGGCACTCCTGCCGCACCGGAAAGGAATCAGGCAGAACCTTGTATCTGGTTGCCAGAGGTAACATGTATGACTCTACACCTACATGGCCCCACGTGTCTGGGAACTGCCAATTCTGCCTGTGGGTCCCGGGTGGGCAGGTCTTCTTCCACCTCGGCCAAGCTTCACCTGGACACCCACAGGCAGCCCACGTGCCTAGAGTGAGGGCTCCAGGCAGGCCCACCTCGCTCCCCTGCCCTTGTACCTGTGCCATCCAGCTGGGCATCACTGGCCTCTGCAGGCCCCCGGCCTTTCCGCTCTGTCTCCTTCACCTCAGGCACATAGAAGTCTCCCTGCCGGGCCAGCGGGCACATGAAATAGATCTGGTCTTGCTGGTAGATCTCCAGCCGAGGGTGGGCACACAGCTTCCGCTCCTGCCAGAGAGGGACAGAAGGAGGAGTGAGCCCGGCATGGCCTCTTGTCCCTGAGTGGCTGCTCTGCCTCGGGACCCAATCTCCCCCAAGTTCCCAACCCCACACTCGGGGGCAGTGGTCCAAGGACCCAGGAGTCCTTGGGACAATACCCTGGACAAGTGCTCAGAGAGCCCAGGAGCCTGTCACTGTGAATCCTGAGTGCAGGGCTGGAACCAGAGGCCGTACCAGGAACCCTGGTCTCGCAGCCACGCAGCCTCACGCCGCCACACAGGGGCCCACGAACCATGGCCTGTGGCACCCAAGCCAAGCCAAGCCCTGACTTGCCAGACTGTCTCTCCCAGGACCCCCTGCCCTGACCTCCTCCCCACCCTGGACCATAGTGACTGACCCACAGAGACAGGAGAGGCCAGTGCCCTGTCCTTACAGACATGTTACTGACAAATCCCGGACAGGGCTCCAGGCCAGCTGAGCCTAAGCCCCTCTTCCAGTCCCGTTGCCCTGCAATTCCAGGTCCATGCCAGCCTGAGACTGTCAGCTGTGGTTGGCTCCCAGACCTTCCTGCTCCCGGGCTCAGAGTGTTACCCGAGGGGGAGGAGCCAGACCCTAGGCTGCAGGGGCAGGCAGGACAAGTAGATCTAACACTGGACATTATTCCAGCTCCCCAGTGGGACCCATGTTCTGAGACAGGCACTCCCCTCCCCTCTGCCTGGACCCAGGCCCCAGGCTCCCCATCCGTCTGTCCCTCGGTGTGGGTGGAAGGGGCACAGACAGATGCCCGAGTGCCCTGAGGCGGGAAACCAGGACAGGGCCAAGTGCATCTGCTCCTGAGCCCGCCCCTCCCTGCGATGGAGCACAGTCACCACTGAGATGACCGGAGGCTCCTGCCCTGCCACTGCTCCCCACCAGTCTTCACAACATGGCTATTTATAGCGCCTGCCGGCTCTCACCACGAGCTCTGAAATGAGCCTTCCACTCAGCAGTAATGAGAGACCCGGTGGCCGGCGGGCAGAACCACTCCAGGACTCCACTTGTCCGCCTGCTGGCCGAGCCCAGGCTGAGGAGCCCCCTCCAATTAAAGCACATGAAGGGGAGAGAGAGGGGGAGTGAGGCTGAAAGTGCCGGGAGGCCTGTGTCCTGCGTCCCCTGCTCAAACGCAGGACAGCCGAGCCCTGACTCCTCCAGGGTCAGTGAAGGAAAGTCATTATTTTTAATAGTTGGAGCCAATCTTTTCTGCCAACCTGGGTGCTCTCTGGGCCATCTCATGGGCCATGCCCCGAGCTCCTCCCACCTCTGAGTACACGGATGGCTGCCTCGCTTCTCCACCCGCCTATACACTCACTGCCCTGGCCCCCAGGAGGAGGCTGAGCAAGGGCACTTCAGGCAGCAGGAGCGACCAGGCTTTGGGACCCTTCCAATACCAGCCCTTGGGGGGCATCTGCCAAACCTGAGCCCCTCTCGGTGAAATGGGCCGTCACCAAGGCCAGGGTGGCTCCTGAAGAAGGTCCCAGTTCCTTCCTGGTAGCCAGAGGGAAGCAAAGGGAAAAGGGCCCCCGGACCCAATCAGGTCATGGCCTTCACCAGCAGCCCCATGCTCTGGGCATTCAAAGGGTCCACAGGGAAATGCCTTAGTGGCCATCAGTCACCTGGTGGCCCGTCTCTAAGGGGCTGTAGACACTGGCTTTTGGGGATGCCCCTGGAACCAGAGCCTGTGCTCACCCAGAAACTCCAAGGATAGTGGAGCCCTACCCCTGCCTACACTCGAGCCTACTTAGCGTCCCTTCAGGAAGTAACGGGGATGTTAAGAGGGAAGAGTGCTCTTCCTACCCTCCTTTCTAAGCTGGGCGCCAGGGTGGGCAGCTCCAGGCAGCCACCTTTGCCACCTGCTCTGCCAGCCCCCTCATTGGCAGGCAGGAGGCAGCTCTGTGGCTGCTCTGCGCATCTGCCTCCGCCAGAGAGCCGGGCTCTGAAGTTGCCTGGCTGTGGACAGCCCTGTTGCCATGGAAACTGCATCCTCCATCCTTGCCGTCGCCTTCATCTCAAAGCCATTGGGGAGAACAGACGAACAAGGGAGACAGAGGAGGGAGAGAAAACTGTGGCCTGGCTACACAGCCCCTCCTTCCCTGCCCAGCCCTCCCTCCTCACAGCATCCCCGTGCAGGAAGCACCAACTGCCCAAGCCTGCCCCAGGCCTCTGGAGGGGCAGCCTCATACCCAAGCCCAGCCACCACCTGGAGACCCCTGGCACTCCCTGTTGGCAGGAGGTGCGAAGCTCATTGAAACCTCATTGACAGCTCAGCCCCAAGTCATTTTAACACATGCTGGGCCTGTCAAAATTCAGACTCAGGGGCTTGAGGAAGGCAAAGGCACAAACTTTCAGCCCAGGCCCACAGGCAAGGGTCGGGCTTAGCAATGTCCCCGCAGCCTCTCTGTCCACTGAGCAGCAGTGAGTCCAGTGGTGGCTGGGGATGGAGGGTGCAGGACAGGACTAGCCACAGGCCCCGTCCCTAAGTGATCGGGCAGGGGACCGGGCCTTTCCCTCCCGGCCTCTGAGGGAAGAGGGGCCGCTCTCAGGTCCTCACTGCTCAGCAGGAGCTGTGGCCCAGGCAGCATGTCCACGAGCTGGTGACTATAGGCAATCAGTGAAGGAAGGAAGGGCAGCTGCTCCCCCTCAGCCAGCCCCTGGGAGCCCTGGGAGAGCAGACTGCCAAGAGCCAAGGACAGGAGGTCAGGGCCATGTTGGCTGGTACTGCTGGGGAAGGGACCTGAAGTCCTCCCGGCCCGGGCACCCCTGCCCACAGCCAGACAGCCAGAGGCTTGAGGACGCGTCACTGGGACATCTGATGAGGCCACCACCCAGGGCAACCCACTCCCACACACAGTCTCAAGGGGCCCGCGGGGCCCTCCACGGTGGGAGAGATGCAGGCTGGCAGGGTGCGTCCCAGCTGACAGAGAACAGCCAGCCAATCAGGCCCAGGCGCCAGCAGGAGCTCCTGGACACGATGCAGGCGCTCTGGTCCCTGAGACTCACCTCCAAGGTTCCCTCCCTCCTGGACTTCCCACAAGCAGAGACAAAGAGGGGCCTGGGCCCCGGGGGGGGTGGTGGTTCCGGGAGACCTCACTTCCCACCCCCCACCCCTGCACTCACACCAGCTCCCTCACCAGGAGCGCTGGCAGACAAGGGAAGGAGCAGGGCACCCAGGCCACCACAGCGCCGCTGCCCAGCTACCTTGGGGACACACCACACTTCCTTGCCTCAGGAGGTGCTCACTGCCGAGTTGGGGGCAAGCATTCAGCTCACGCAGCGTAGGGGTCCTGCAAAGGGGCTAACCTGGCATGCTGGCCAAGGTTTCCCACAGGCCCCACAGTGCCTCCCCTGAAGTTCTTACTGAATTAGAGGAGGGAGGATGGAGGGGAGAGAGAACTACCTGAATTACCCTCATCTGATGGTCTACTTCAGCTAGGGTGGGGGTAGGGGAGGGTAGATGCCACCCCCAGGCAACCTAGAAGCTAAGTCTGCTCAGAGCTAAGTGACCTCAAATCCCCCAAAGGACGAGACATTGGGTGCAGGCCCAGGACTGGGTCACACATCTCCTACATGAGCTCTAGACCCAGGAGGGGATGAGGTCAGCTCCTTCTGGCTCCAGACAACCACAGCCCCTTACCACCTGCCTCAGCGGGGTGAGGGGCCCTGGCCCTCCCTGTTCAGCCTGAGCTGCCCAGTCCTACCCGTCCATCCACACCAGGCTGGGCAGCCACACAGCCAGCACACAGCTGTTGCATCGCACCTGAGGTGGTGGCATCTCCGCACTGGGTGAAGTGAGGCATGCTCATTTTTAATTACAGACACCGACGTGCACCCGCCTGCACGCTGCAGTCCCTGCAAGTGGGGGCTCCAGCCCTGGAGGCCCCTTAGGCAGCTGGTCTGTATCGCACATGCAAAGTGATGCAAAGCGAGGGGGGAGGCGTAGCAGGGCTGCTGCCGGAATGTGGCACGTTGTTATTATTCTGCCCGGGAACTTCTGTCAACATCCCCCTCCCTGACTCCCTCTCCTCCCCACCGGGCCTCCCAGCAGCCTCTGACCAAGAACCTCAGCCTGTGTGTGGGGCCGGCCATGGCAGCAGGGAGAAGCGCTGGTGAGCTCCCTCCCCTCTGCAGCAGGAGGGCCCAAGGCTCTGAAAATGACCAGCAAAGGAGACAGGAGTGCGACCGGCTGCCAGGGAGGGCAGAGAGAGGGCAGGAAGGGGTCGAGACTAGACGGTAGCAGGAGCCTGAGCCTTGGCCTAGCTCCTGACAGATGGGTGGCTTCTCTCTGGATCAATCCCCCAACTGTAAGATAAAGAGATCGAAACAGAGGATCTCAAAAGAAGTGAGGAGTTGGGAAAGATGAATAAAATACCATCACTTACAGATAGGGCAATTGTATACTTGAAAAACCCCAGAAGAATCAATGGAGACACTACCACAAACATCAAGGCCACTAAATTAACAAAAGCACAGCGCCTTTCCTGTGCATTAGCCAGACGGGAAATATAATGGAAGTAAGAGCTGAAGGCTCTTGGGACGGGCTAGCACCTGGTGACCTAGAGCCTGGGAAGACTGAGAAAGGGGAGCGTGAGGGAGTGGGGCGCTCGCTGTGCCTACTGCTGCCACTGCCTGAAACTTTTCATTTTCACCTCAGAGCCTGCAGCGTGCCATGCAATTTACACCTCTGCTCATATTCCTGCACCCGGGGACATGAGGAGGGCCTCAGGGGCGACAGAGACCAGGGTGGGCTGGGGCACCGAGGAGCAGGGGAGGGTGATTTGCTGAGTAGGCGCAGGGGACTCCAGCCCTTAAGCACCCCAGAGCCTGGGTGGCTGGGGCCCCGCATCTCAGCCCTGCTCTGGCTTCCCTGGGCCTGTGTGGAGGAGGACCAGAGGGCCGGGGAACATGTGGGGGAGAGCCCCATAGGGAGATGGGGGCGCAGTCCTGGGACCCCGCCAGTCTCCCTTCCAAAGGTTCGAGGAGAGCCAGGGCAGGCCCACAGCCCCCCAGGACAGCTGACTGACAGCTGCTCGGGGCGGGTGTGTGCAGTCAAGGACCTGGGCCCGCCCCGCCCAGACAAGCCCACGGAACGCTGCTGACTGATTACCCAGCAGCAGGAAGGCTGCTCGGTGCAGATGGGCAGATGGAGCTGTGAAGCCAAGCACCTGGGAGCCAGAGGAGCCAGAAAGTGCCAGAGAGCAAGGACAGGTGGGTGAGTGGGATGGAGAGGAGGGGAGGCGTGGAGGGGGAGGACTGGCAGTGGGGAGGAGGCGGCCCTGGTCTCATCTCAGGTGGCACCTCTGACCACTGGCCCCTCGGGAGCCCTCGCTGGGAGGCCCTCCTGACCCTCAGCAGACAGCGGGCTCTCCTGACCCGAGGGCTCTCTGAAGGGCAGAGCTGCTGGGCTCTCGAGGGCCAGCCCAGCCTCCCCCCGGAATCCCGAGCCTTCTGGAGCCGAGCAGGCTTTTTCCTAAGGCCATCTGCCGGGAGAGGCTGCCTGGGATTGGACTGCCCAGCCCACAGCACACCCAGACGCGCCTCAGCCCCCAGGGTCCTGCAGGGCTGCCAAGCGCACACATCCGAGCTGGTATTTTGAGAGTGGTAGCTCCCACGCCCGCCCCAGCAAAGGCTGGCTTTGTGCTTTCTGTCCTGGGGTAGGGGAGGGGAGAGGGGGAGAGGGGGAAGGGGAGAGGGGGAAGCCAGAGAGGCTGGGGAGCAAGCTCCAGGCCTAGGCTGACAGAGCGGAGAGGCCTGGCCTCCTGTGGGTCCCCCCACATCTTAACATCCAGGGACGGGGCAGGGGGTCTCCCCCTGGTGTGGGGGTGTCTGGGAGTAGAGAGTCTAGTCTGCTCCTCTCGGTTAACTTCTTACCCTCGTTCAGAGCGCGGCTGTGGCCTCTGGTTCCTCCTCCCCACCTTCCCGTGTCAAGTCCTGTTCCTGAGCCTCATCTGCTCAGACGCCCAGGCGCCACCCAGCCTTACCTCCTGGGCCCAGACTCTTGCTCCTCCCGACTCAAGCCACAGTGGGTACACAAGCCATCCCATGTCAGCGCCTCTGCCTGACCTGCCTTTCAGCTGGAGAACACTACCTGTCCTTCAAGGCTCAGCCCCAATGCCACCCCCACCCCCAAGGCTGCTTTGCTGTTCCCTGGAAGCCACCTGCCCTTCCCCATCCACTCCTGCGAGGCAGGGCTAAGCCTGTGGCTGGGGGCTCTGGGGAGAAAGAGTCGGGGCTCGTCACTCGGACCCAGGTCCTGGCGCTGCCGAGTGCCCTCCTCTCTGGGCTGGCCAGGCCGATTCGCAGGTGGCAGCACTGGCAGGGGAGCTGGCCCTGGAGCTGCAGTGAGGGAGCCTGGGAACAGAGCTGCCACCGGCTCCCTCGGGATGGGACACGAGGCTCACAAGGCACCTGCAGCAGCCGCTCTGGGCCGTGTCCGCGGCCACGCCTCCCTTTGTGGTGCCTGCCCTTTGCTCCTGGCTCCCACCGCCTCCCAGACCACGGGCCAGAACCCCGTGGGGAGCAGCACGGCCCTGGCAGTGGGCATCCAGGTGAGGAAGCCCCAACGGGAGTAAGCTTTGGGGTCACCTCTCTCCACATCTGCCACCTTTGCTGAGCTAATGTGGAAGGGCTCCACGTTTTATTTTGAATAAGGGAAGCCCTCTTGACACCCCAGTGCAGTCACTTACCCTCCAAACAGAAGCTCCCAAGGTCATCTGGCCTGAATACCCAGGGGCAGAGCTACTCCCTCCTCCCGGGTCCAGCCGAGGGGCACCTCAACACAGCCTCTAGGCTCCCCAGAGCAGGCTGGGAACTGTGGTCTGGGGTCCCTGCCCACTTTCAAGCTGTGGCAGGACAGCCCATCGACCCAGCTGTCCCTCTTTTGTTACTCATTTAACAGCAGTTACTGAGCATCTTGCTGGGTGCACGCTAAACTAGGACGAGGCATATAAAGAGCTGAGCAAAGTTGGTAGCACGTTGGAGGAGTTGGGTAAGTGGCTTATTGCTCAACTGAAAACCTAATATGCAAATGAGGTCTGTCGGCCGCTTACTGCACTCTCCAGTTCCTCTCCCATTCTACGGAGAAAGAGCCGGTGTCTGACCTCCAGGGCCTGTCGACTTCCCCGGCCAACCAGCCTCCCCTCGGACAACGCCCTGAGCCAGGCCCAGAGCTCAGGGACCTCTCCCAGACACTCCCACACGGGTCCAGGCCGCTCGTCCAGTCTGCTCCATGCGCCTGCCCTTCTTGTGAAGACGGTTCCACCCTGCGGTGAACCTGGGGGCCTTTTCCAGTGTCTGGGCTGACACCTGGGCCGCATTTCCTCTGTGGCCTTGCAATTTCAAGGAGGCCCGGCCCCTCTTACAGCTAACAGATCCCCTCCCACGGTCAGGGAGTGCTCTCCCCGCCCTCAGTGGATGAGCAGCCTGACGAAGCGGGCATCTCCCACAGGCTGGCAGTCATGCTGCACACAGCGCTCACGAGGCCCGTGGTTTCCACGAGGAAAGCTTAGCCTGCTGGGCTGCCGGGCTGCTGGGCTGGGGAAGGCGGCTGGAGAGCCAGGGCTGTCACAAGGACCACAAAGCTGCGATCCAGCCATCCTCCCAGAACCCCCGAGACCTGACGAATGATTCTCTCTGGGTTCCTTACAGTGACCCCCAGGGCCCTCGCTGTCCCACGGGACCAGTCCTGCCCCAGGCTCGCCCCCCCGGGACAGCCAGGGCTTCTGAGACCTTCCCCGCCACCCTGCCTCCTCCTGAAATAGAAGCTCCTGCCATTCCACATGAAGCACCTCCATGACCCAGCTTTAGATCCAGAGAGAAGTCAGAGAGGCGGAGAACAAGAAGGCTGTGCGTGTGTGTGTGCGCGCACGCAAACTCACGCTCTCTCTCTCTCTCTCACACACACACACACACACACACACACACTCGTGCGCACACGCTTAAAGGCAGCCAGCTGTCAGGGTTGAGAGTCAGAAGAGCCAGAGACTCATTAGCAGCCTCCTTTCCCTGGTCCCAGAGCAGCGGGATGCGGGCAGGCGTGGGAGGGAGCCTTCTATTCTCTTCTGTCTCCGGGGCCGAGAGACACAGGACCACCCCGTCCACTGCGGGCTGAGACCAAAAGCAGAGCCAGCCCCTTCCTCACCTGTCACCTGGCTATGTCCCCAAGACACCAGGCCAGGCCTCCAGAACCCAGCACAGCACCTGGGCCACACCTCCCTGTGGGCAGCCTGGCATCTCTCCCAGCTGGCAGCCAGACCCAGATGCCTCAGACATCACTGGAGAAGCCTCCTGCTCCCCCTCTCCCCCGGCTTCCCCGTCCCAGGCAGGAAAGAGGATGGTACTGCCCACCCCCCTGCTCCAGCCCCACTCCAGGAGAACCAAACCCAGAGCACAGCTGACAGGCTCCCACAGGGGGAAGAGGGGGCAGCATCGGAGGAGGGAGGAGGAAGAGCTTTCATCAAAGAGGTGACGTCAAAACCAGGCAACCTGTGAAGCTGTCAGGGGCCGGGAAATTTGGACAAAAGCGTCTAAAAATAAACCCCAAACCAGGAAAAGGCTTTGGTGGCAGAGGTGCTCGCCACCACGCCACATGCCACGCAGCCTGTTATGAGCTCTGGACCCAGAAAGCCTCTTCCCAGAGGTGGGCTGCAGGTGGCCCTTGAGGTGGAGGATGACACAGACAGAACTGGAGGCCTGGTGAGACCCCACCCAGGAGACATGCTAGGGTAGTGATGGCGAACCTTTTGAGCTCGGCGTGTCAGCATTTTGAAAAACCCTAACGTAACTCTGGTGCCGTGTCACATATAGAAATTTTTGATATTTGCAACCATAGTAAAACAAAGTTTGTATTTTTGATATTTATTTTATATATTTAAATGCCATTTACCAAAGAAAAATCAACCAAAAAAATGAGTTCGCGTGTCACCTCTGACACGCGTGTCATAGGTTCGCCATGACTGTGCTAGGGCCTTGGGCACTGATGTCTCCCTTTCTGCCCTCCCCACCAGCCAGGCCCCCAGCTCCTGCCTCACCCTGACCCTCAACCTCCAGCCCACTCCACCAGGCAAGCCCATCCTCCCCAGCCTCTCGGCTACCAGCCCAGCTCCCAAAGGAAACCTGTGTGCTGCCTCCTGCCACACAGCCCTCCTGCTGCTCCTTTCTTGACCACCAAGGCCATGGCTGGTCGACCAGGCTCCATTCCCAGACTGCCCCCTTGGCCCGGCGACCAGGCCCCATTCCCACAAGGTCTTGGGCATCGAGAAGAGATGCCAGCAGCCTCTGCCCATCTTCCCGTTCCACAGGCACCTGCCTCACAGGACCCCAGGGTGCTGCCCTCCCAGCACTCCCTTTCCTCTCAGCTGCCAAGTCCCCCCTGGCTGCACCCACCGCCCCCAACACACACGCCAGGCCTGTCTCACCTTGATGTAGGCATCCAGGGCAGGATGGACGCGGCGGGTGGCCAGCCAGATGGACAGGGCGGTGGTGTAGGGGAAGGTGGCTGTCACCACATGGCTGGGTGCCGGGAAGGAGAACACCTTGAAGCCAAATTTCTGGTAGAGCTGGATGAGCTCGGAGGAGGGTGACTCCTCGCCTTCACTCAGAATGCTGCCCACTGCACAGCGGCACTTCTCGGGGGGCACCTGGGGAGGGAGAGCAGGGGTGTCTGTGTTGAGCAAAGGAAGGAGGTCCTCAGACCTGGGTTCTGTGCCAGCTCAGGCCTGGCGGAACCACCAGCTCCAAGAGACCATGCAGCCCCCGGCACCAGGACAAAGAGCACTGCTTTTCTGCTGGGACCCGTTCATGGCCCCGGCCTGTGGCATCCGCTTCAGTCACTGACCACCCCTTCAGTCATTCCTCCAGAAGCACGCCAGGCCCTGTGCTGGCTGTAGGGGGCGACAGGCAGCAAGAGCGCGTGGAACTATGGGTTGCTGATGAGACTGTGGGAGAGCCCGAGCCCCGTTCCCTCAGGCCTCCAGGCCTCCTCTCAGCCCACGCCCCATCCAAGGCCCTGCCCCTTCCTGGCCAGGCCAGAGATGGCTGGTCCCCCTCCAAGTCTCCCTGGGCCCCCAGGACCACCATTCCACTCTGCTCCCCTCCTGCCTCCCACCAACCCCAGCCAGGTGGGTGCCTGTGTGAGTCCCTGACACTTCCCAGGCCTGACTCCAGGCCTACAAGGCCCAGCACTGGCTTCTCCTCCTGCCACTTGTCTGTACCAGCCCTCCCAGAGGTTATATACGTTTCTGAATCAAAGAGACTAACCACAGACTGCGTGCTCTCAATCCGGGTTTTCCTTGGTCCCCGGATGCACAGGGCCCACTGACCCCTAAATTTAAACTCCACCTCCACTTGCTCCTCTCCCCAGCCCACCTCCTCAGCACCGTGAAGTCCCTGTCACCTGTTCTCGCCTCTGCCCTCCTTCTGGCCTTTCCAAGCCCTGTCAACAAGCCCCTGGGGTCCCTCAGCTCTGCTCTGCCTTTCTGCTCTGGCCACCCCAGCCTGTCCTTGGCGGCTCACTTTGCCTGGCACTTGGGCACCGACTCCAGGCTCTCACCTCTATGCAGTCCCTGGGGGTCACTCCAGCTCCCCGTGGCTCTGGTCCCTTGCTGCCACTTGAATCCCAGGGCATTAGGCCTGGCTCAGGGCTTTAGTGGCAGGAAACATGGTACAGTGGTCAGGACCACATCTCTGGAAAGAGGCAGGCCTGGGCGTGAGTCCTGAGTCGTGTGATTCCAGACAAGTTCCTTGGTTTCCTGGAGCCCACTCCCTTGATCTCTACGCACAGAACTGTCCTATTAAACCAGGGGTCCACAAACTGCGGCCCGCGGGTATCCGGCCCGCTCGGTGTTTCTGCCGCTGCTGTCCGTCCTGCTTAGCAGCCGATGCGTCCCGCCCGCAGTGCGCATGTGTGGAACGTCTGAGGGACAGTGAACTGGCCCCGTTTAAAAAATTTGAGGACCTCTGTATTAAACACTTTGCATGAGGCCCTAGGCTGGGCCAGCGCTCAGCAGATGCGCCATAACTGCTGTCGGTATTAGCAGCTAGGACACAGGCCAAGTAAGTGACCCTTGGCCTAGAATGCCCATCCACCCAACCTCTGAGCACGTACCCCCCCCCCCTCCAGGTCCACACGTCCCTCAGGGTGCCTTGGGTGGCCCAGCGGCACCCGCCCCCCACGTCAGCCCCCACGCCAGCACTTTGCTGTAAACTCCTCACATCAAGTCTGAGCCCGAGGCTCCTCCCACCCCGCCAGGCAGGGTGCCGGAGATCACTGCAGTTCCAACTCTTGTCTCTAGATGGTGCCACGGCCCCACTTCACACCCTAAGACGAGGCAGGCCCGAAAGACTGGAGGTTCGGCAGGGTCAGTGCCTGCTGCATAGCCCACCTTCCCATTCCTGACCCTAGCAGCCTAGCGGGACAAAAGAAAGATCCAATGTAAGTTACATGGACATTTGGACAGGAGGTCACTTCATCTCGCACAATCCCTGGCCCGCCTGGGTTTGGGACCGAGGGTCTTTTCTGGGATCACTTCAGCAGCTCAACATCCTCCTCAGTCCCCAAAAGGCACCAGAACATGTGACAACCCCGCTTAGCTAGAACGCTCACGGTTCCCCATTCCCCTCCAGGATGAAACCCAGGCCCAGCATGCAAGGCCATCTCAGTGGCCCACACAACATGCCCAGAATTGCCCGCACACTCACTGGCACCATTTCTGCATCCCGAGGTGCCCTCAGGGCCCAGAACCCAGTTGGGCAGGTGCCCACTGCATGTCTGAGTAGCAGGAGGGACAAACCCAGGCTCTGGCCCAGCTCACCTGCCAGCCTCCTCTCGCACCCACCCCCGCACAGGCCCACAGCCCTAGCATTTGCAACTCCCCAAACATGCCGTGCCCTCCCGTGCTTCCTGCCTCTGCGTAAGCCACTTCCTCTGCCTGGAATGTCCTTCCTCGTCCTACTCCAGAGTCCCTTCTCCTGAGAAACTGCTGCTCACCCTTTAGCTCAACTCTCCTCCTCAAAGCATTCCATTGCTCCCGCCCAGCAGTCCCTCTTCTGATCCCAGATGCCTGTGAGGGTCCCAGCTGGTGTGGCTCAGTGGATGGAGCGTCGGCCTGCGGACTGAAGGGTCCCAGGTTCAATTCTGGTCAAGGGCATATGCCCAGGTTGCGGGCTCGATCCCCAGTAGGGGGTGTGCAGGAGGCAGCTAATCAATGATTCTCTCATCATTGATGTCTCTTCTCTCCCTCTCTCTTCCTCTCTGAAATCAATAAAAATATTTCTTCAAAAAAGATAAGAAAAAAAGGAGGAACTCCGCTCACAGGTCAGTAAAGCAGCTGGTAAGGAGACGAGGCTCCCGAAATCCTGGAGGCGTCTGGGGCACAGGTGCTCCCTTCCTGCCTGAGCATCCCCTCAATTCCACCAGTGAGGACACTTGCTGCCCCTCCCCTGCCCTGGCCAGTGACTCAGATGCTATTCAGCAAGCTCACCTCCTGCTAAGGAGCCCCAGACTGAGCTGGGTCTGGGAGGAAGCTGAACCGGCACCAGCAAGGAGGTGAGACAGGCCCTAAGACAAGCTGGGAAGTGGCAGGGCTGGTCTCAGAGCAGGGGGGCTCCCGGGGCTCCCTGGGCTCCCAGGCAAGCCAGGCCCGCCTCCAGGGGTATGGCCACTGAGGTGGTAAAGAGCTCAGAAGGTGGGAATGTCCTGGTGGAGAGAAACCCCACCCACCTGAGGGAGCCTAGGCTTGCCAATTCCACCTGTCTGCTCCCTTCCTCCCCGTCCCAGTCATTTCTCTGGGTACCTGTGCCCAGAAGAAGAGCTGGGCCACAACTAGCACCAGCAAGGAGCACACCAGGGAGAGGGATACAGGGTAGTGGGACCCAGCACTTTGGGTGAAGGTAGGCCCATTCGGAATCCGTCCTGAAAGCAAGACTAGCAGAGGCTCTCCTCTGGGCTGTGAGGCCCCCTGAGTCCTAGTATGTGAGATGGGGCAAGGGGGTCCTGCCTGAAACCTAAAGCTTCCGGGTCCCAGCCGGCCCCACTGCCCCTTCTGGAGAGGCCTCCCGGGGCCCTGAGAGGCGAGAGTGAAGAGAGGCTCCCGAGGGACCTCACTGTGCTGGAAACTGGACAAGATCGATTATCTTCCAAGAACCAGGATGGAAAATGATGTCCCCTGGCTCAGGCCAAACCCAGGCCCTGGGTTCAACAGAATGGCCAGGCCCAGGCCCACACCTGCATAACCTCACTGTCTGCCATTCGCAGGCCCAGAGGGCTGCCTGACTCCTCCCTGGCTAGCCGACCCGGCCCAGAGCTGCCCCAAGTAGGAAGAGCAGGAGCAGGCCCCTTCATTTGCCCGGGTGCCCCCAGCGGAACAGAGCAGCCGCACCTGCCCATGGCTGGAGGCTGAACAGTGGACTCACTTACCCTCCTGAGTCCTACAGGCCAACACACCAAGCCCCGCAGGCCCCACCTCCCTGGGCACTAGCCAGGAAGGACCTGGGCAATGCCAACCCCAGGTCAGAGGAGAGGACCTGTACTTCAGGCTGAGGGGAGCAGAGTCAGCAGGATGCCCATCTCCAGAGTGGGATCAGGTGCTTTCTGGGAACTCCCACCTAGAAGTCTTCCAGGGCATTGTTCACCCCCAAGCACAATCCTAATACCAGGTGTACCTGACAAGGTGCTCACCACCCGCCCAGTTGCTGTCTTCCACGCATCAGCTCCTTATCTAAACAGCACTGTGTTGCCCTAGCCGGCTTGGCTCAGTGGATAGAGCGTCAGCCTGTGGACTGAAGGGTCCCAGGTTCGATTCTAGCCAAGGGCACATGCCTGGGTTGCAGGCTCGATCCCCAGGAGGAGGTATGCAGGAGGCAGCCGATCAATGATCCTCTCTCATCATTGATGTTTCTATCTCTCTCTCCTTCTCTCTTCCACTCTGAAATCAATAAAGAAATACATTTAAAAAATAAATAAATAAACAGCACTGTGCAGTAGACACTGTTGCCAACACTGTTTCTGAGACCCAGAGAGCAAAGCTATTCAGCAGAGGTCACACAGCCAGGCAGCGATGGAGTCAGGATTCGAACTCAGGCAGACCAGCTCCAGGCCTGTGCTAACAAGCCACAGCCACTGAGAAGCCTGAGGAATAGGCCCAGGCTAGGGATGGCTTCGCCTTGCGCTGCGCCTCCTCACATGCCCAGGCGGCTTGCAGAGGGCAAGGCCAGAGGGAAGTACAAAGTCCAGAGGCACAGGCCCTCAGAGGCAGGGGCGGGTTCCAGGAGTGCTAGGCACCTACGAGGGCTGCGGACTGGCCTTGTCCTTCTTATTTAGCCCCTAGAAACACCCACCCTGAGGCAGGGATTCTCAGAGACCCACAGGCTCGCCCAGCACAGCTGGCAGAGGGGAAGCCTTGATTCAGACCCAAGAGGACAAGCCCCAAGTCCGCGCCTGCTGTACCTCGCCTCTCCCCCTTCCAAAGGCAGCTCTGCCGCCCTCCCAGGGCTGCCCACATCGTTAACCAGCAGCGGAGCAAAGGCCTGACTCCATCTGAAGAAAATCATCACAGGGTACCTGGTAGGGCATGGCCTGAGCCCTCAGGAAACGCCAGCCCAACCCACATTCCCACTACCTGTGGTGAGGGGTCAAACCTGG